GGTTTAAGCCACAGTTGGTCCATCGCGCCTTAGACCAACTTCACTTCAAAGGCCTAAAAATTTAGAGCTCGTATTATCGTGCCATAAAATGAACAGGAGACAAAGGGCAATCAAAATTATTTTTTTTAATGTTGACTCCATAATTGGCAATTGCGAAGCATATCAATTTGCGAAGGCAATAGAATGCGATCCCCGGTTTCCTGTATCATTGACGATTCCAAACCTTATAGATAATAATTCTTAGATTCACGTAAATTGTATGGCAAATGAGCGTCATTAATGCACGTTAGTATGTTATTATATTTTATGATATACAAATTATCGGGATAATAACGGGTTGGCGCCGGAGGTGTTAAGTGTATATGTATACATATATATACATATTTAATTATTTTTTCTTCAAATGCCTCATTTTCATGGTCTTAACACAACACAACTCAATTATGTGGAATACTTAGTTGCGCATGCGCCTAATCCGTCGCGAACGTTGTAAACTTCCGATTAAAGTTCCGTTATAAAAGTTGCAAAATGCGCACGCGACTTCCGCTGTTGCGGAAGTAGAAGCGGAGGTATGTTGCATCTCTACTGTAGATTTGTTTCCTGAAGGCTATAACTTGAGTGTGCATGCTGCATCAACGACATTATCGTCACTTTCCATCCGATGAGATGGACGACAAAAAAAAATGGAAAATACATTGTCAATTTAATGAATTTTTACGTAATTTAGATACAGAGCAATTCCAATTTGTAGAAATTCCAAATGTTAATTATTTAGCCTTCTCCAATACTTGTGTTTATTTTATTAGGTACATTTATTTACTTTAAACGAAAACATGCTGGAACTAAACCTACAACTAAACCGCGTTAGTTGAAATTCCAGTTAATAAGATAGTCTAAACGAGGGTTACGTGATTTTTAAAGTCCGAAATCTCCAAAAGGTTGTCGTGATGTTTAAACATTTTGCCGCTTAACGCTTCTCGTATTGCAGTTACTTTACAAGAAATAGGTAATTCGATAGACACATTTAACCTCGTTCGTTACGTTATCATATTCCAGTTAAACGGGCCGTGGGAATAGGACCGAGATAATGGAATCGGAGCATTGTAAAAAAGACCGGTATATTAAGAGCCCTGTCTACTGGGAAAAATATCCTTTTATTATTTAAATTATTTTTTTAATATAATATCAGGTGACGGAACGAACAAGTCGTGCGCCTGATGGTAAGATACACGCCTGTCCACAAAAGTTGCAGTGCCACCCAGAGCTTTAAATCGCAAAGATCTGAGGGGCACTGCCACTGCGCCCGTCACCCTGAGACGTAAGTTGACAAGTCCCATGTGCCTGTAATTTCATGAGCATTACTGTGTTCTGGTTTTATATTACTGCTACTACTAAAGCTAAATTTGAATTAACAACGCTTCTATTTAGATTCGGAAAATTTTTAAACAAAACTAAGTATAAAATAACAATTATCGTATATTATTCTGCCCTTGTCATAACTACCACCACCACCTTTGGGATGGCTCTGCTACTTATCAACTGCCACTTTGGATTCAATTGACAACCGTGCCAAGAGGCTTACAGGTGACTCGGTATTAGTGGAAGCGAAGCTGCAGGACCTTGAACACCGCCGTAAAGTTGCCTGCTTATCGGTATTTTACAGGATATATCACGGAAAGTGTGCGAGGGAATTACACGATTTAATTCCGCCCTCCCCTTTCCATCGCCGGGTGCTTAGGCGTAGGCTTGGGTTCCACCCCTATGTTGTGGATATTTCAAAGATTCGCAAGAAGCGTTACGCTTCTACATTTATATGACGAACGGCTATGGAGTGGAATTCCCTGCCTGCAGGCTTGTTCCCTGAACGTTATAACTTGGGTCTTTTCAAGATGAGAGTGAATAGGCATTATTTAGAACAGAATAGAATATAATAGACATTTATTGGAACGCCACAACACACAGATACAAAAAAAAAATATTGATACTACTTAGACAAGCAAAACAAAACAAAAAGACGTAATTAACAAAATTAAAATAAAATGAAATAAGACAATAACAAACAAAGAGCAAAACAGAAAAATACTAAATATAACAACTACAAATGTTGTACTGTCATGTGTGCGGTTGTGGCGTACGCAAAAGGACTTCATTCAGCTTATGCCACAGCCGCAATTGACTGTGGCGCTGGTTTTCAATGGTAATGGTTTTCAAATTTAGGTGTGCATGCTCCATCGTCGACCTCATCGTCTCTTTCCATCAGGTGACATGGAGGTCAAATGCGCACTAATATTTTATATAAAAAAAAACTAACGGATTTGCATTTTGGTAACTTCCGGGATTACACTTTCTTTATTATTTTTTTCTTTGAAAAATGTCAATTACGCTGATTTTATTTAAGGCGAGGTATTTCAACGTGAGCCTACATTTTAGGAGGTGAGGTGTGGGGGGTTGCTCCTGGCGTCTCGCAATCTTAATACTTAAAATTCAAAATTAATATGAATAAAATAAGAATAGGCGGAGAAAATTTGACACAGATGGCGACTGATGAGGCAGCGGGCGGCGCGCCGTGTGCAATTTGCAAATTTTATCATAAATATGAATTGAACAACTAATAGGGCTACAGTTGAAAACCAAAATTTAGCAAGCGCTCTGTAGTACTTAAAGACAAATATCGCAATATAAAAATTATGTAAAAATATTTATATTAATTATTTTTCTAAGTGTTCGATCTTTTATATTAATAATTATAAGAAACTAGTAGTGTAATTTCAATTTAATTACAATGAATAGTGACATCTCTAGCCAGCGCCGGTAGCTGTAAAGGTACCTAACTGGGTGACGAAATATTTTCATACATTTCTCATAGAAGGCGCTACGGCTAAAAAGTCGTTGAAAACCTAATACAAAGATATGACAGCAAGCACATAGAAAAATTCGTGAGATCCGCTGGTGCGTTCTGTGGTTTAGTCGGCATAGCGTCTGGCACGGTTTACTCAAAGACGTCGGTTCGAATCGAAGGATTTTTTTCTAAATGTTCGATGTTTCTGTTAACAATTATAACAAATTAGTGGCGTAATTTCACAAAAAAATAATTGATTATCAATTCAATACAAATTTAATTACGTACAAAGTTAGATATGTTATCCTTAATAATTCTTTTTAAGCTTTTATTTTAACCTGTTTTCAGGATTTCGTATGATCGGATAAAGTACATCCTATTGTGTAACACATTAGCACATTCTTTAGACAATATCCTTAAGTGTATTGTACATTTTGTTTGTAAGGCCGTTATTTAGCAGTAAATACCTAAACAATTTGATCTAGCAAAATGGTTTTTCCGGCTTCTCCGATGACTCACCTTTTAAATAAAACTGAAACTAAATACTATGTAAAATCCGCTTATAGCGAGTTTTGGATCTCGTTTGGCTGATTCCTGACAATAAGTTAATAAAACAATTTCCCTAAAAACTTTGATTACTTAAATTATGATTAGGAGAGCAGTTCCCATATCTTTCTACATTAATTTTGATTATAGTGACTTGGGGTATACGAGAAGGGCGCTATAAACTGTGCGCGCACAGGAACCTTACGAGTTCAGGTTCTGACCCCAGATCAGCCAATATGCAGGGTTGTCACAGTCCTCTGTCACTTGACTTCATCCGGCTCTTGAGAGGCTAGTGCCTCCGGTGAGCCGCCCTGGGTGCACGTATAGTACCCTCCCTATTTTCCAGATAGATGCCGGAGCTGTAGGCACGCTTACTTCCCATTGCTGTGATTAGGAGAGCAGTATATATTCATTTATGTATATAAAAAAAACATACTAATTTGGCTACCGAATGCGCGCCTATAAAAAACACACTTATCATGTTAGAGCTCTCCGTAAGCTGTTTAACCAAAACATGGACACTTTTTTAAAATTATAAATTACTTATTTCGTAATGTAACCATTACTGGTGGGTTTCACGAGTGATTTGGGTAATTTTCAGTTGAACTTTGACCTGACGTTGTTTGCAAGTTCGTGTGACAACTTTCTAAATGATTACAAGATCAACCCATTTATGCGTCCCACTGCCGGGCACGCGTCTCCTCTCAGGCGAGGGCTACAGTCCGCAATGTAGGGTCCTTCCCTTCTTCAAAGCTCATGGTAAATTTCAAATGAAATTTGACATGTAAGTTCTGAGAAAGTCAGAGGTGCCAGGCAGGATTCGAACCCGCAGCCTTTGCTTGAGAGACGTTAGGTCAAATTACTAGACTATCCGGCCCATTTTATCTAATGCATTTTATTAAACCGTCTCTTTATATTGTAGAAAATGATGGTAATCCAATACAGGTTTAAAAGTTAGATAAACAAGAAGCAATTTGACAATATGGACGAGTTAAAAACGTAATTGAGGCGTATTATTTTGACATTTTGAACCATAGACCACATAAATATGTTTTGAACATTCGATTAAATGCAACTGGAGTTGCAGTAGAGCTCCTTGTGAAAGAGTTCGTCCAGGGAAGTACTGCCACCTTAATTATTTCAGCCTTAATTATTTCACATTACTGCGTTCCGGTTTTGAAGGACAAGGGAGGTGGTGAAATTACAAGGCCATGGAACATTGTCAACTTATATCTCGAGGTGATGGGGCACAGTGGCAGTGCCTCTCGGATCTTTGTGATTTAAAGCTCTGAGTGGCACTGCAAATGTTATGGACAGGCGTGTCGCTTACCATCAGGCGCACTTCTTCGTCCCGCCACTTGGTATCATAAAAAGAAAAAATATCTCGAACCCCCCCTTAAGCGGTTTTCTTATTTGATTTCAGTTTTATTGATAAACAAAGTCAGCGTAATTGACAATTTTCAAACAAAATAAAACTTAACACTTTCTCAAAATAAAACTTAACACATTTGGTTTTTGGTAACAAAAGTTACCAAAATCCAAATGCGTTGTTTATGACAAAGTTGGCAATAGTCTAACGTAGATGAAGTTAAATTGAAATGTCTCCATCCAACAGGTCAATTGAAGTGTGGCTCAAAACCGGCAGACAGCACAGCCAGATCTTGGACGATCAGAAACTAACCGAGGGTCAGCTACGGAGACCTGGTGCCACCATCATATTATGGCTCAAATGTGAACAGGTAAGGATTGTTAAAAATATGATGTTGTGCACGACTAAGTGTTTCTGTTACATTAGGCCTTCGTGGTGGCGTCGTTTCAGATAAGATACATTATGAGTTGGTACCCATTTATTAATGATGCAATGGAAGTGTTATAACGGAAATAAACGTCAAAATATATCTTAGCGGAAACGGAAGCGGGTGCGGAAGGGAAAATGTGAATTCCATAAAGACCTCAACGAAATAGTTCCACAAAGAATGAACTTGTTTTTGGTTTCGTAATTACACATAACACTACTAACTAAATGCGCGCTCGCGAACATTGTAAAGTTCCGTTATAAAATCTGCAGAAGCGGAAACGGAAACGAATATGAAATACCGTGCGGAACTTTTGAAGTTGCGGAAGCAGAAGCAGAAGTCTTTTGCAGTACAATTATTTATATAATACAATACGAATTTCACACAATAAAAAAGACAGAGACAAACAAAAGACAATTTATTTATTTACTCAGTAATCGATTATGTTATTATCAACATTGTCTTATAAAAACATGAGAAACTACTTATTATTTTAATATATCCAATATCAGAAAATGTCAAGCGTAGATTAATTCCATGAATCGAAAACTCAGTTCCAAATTCCTTTTTAATACGTATTTAACCTTAACCATATACATTTAAGGCAAGCTTATCCTACTTTAAAGTTATTAAATATTGAACAAAAGTGTCATGTTATGTCGACGTATAATCCATAAAAAGCAAAGAAGGTAAAACGGGAAATATAAAAACTATCCCATTAAACACGTGATAATATATATGTTACAAAGTATCAATGTAACATGCCAACTAATTTCACCACATTGCTGTTAATTTTACGTACTAACTTACGTTTGTCACACTAGATCACACCAACATATATTTTAACTTATTAACATTTTTGTTACGTTATGCCGTTTCATCGAGAATATAACCAGAAATAGAGACGGAATGTCATTTCATTTGTTTGAAAACTATTCGGCCATATCATTACTGTGACAACTGGGCTCCGATTGGCCAGCCCGAGTTCGAAACAATTGACGGGTGTCGTCAATTGTTTCACTTCAAATCGACCAGTTATCTTGATCTTTGCTATAATGGACGAAAATTGCAAAATTACCTATTTTTAATATTGAATTACGATGAAATTTGATTCTGTTTGTTTTGTAATTAGATGTTTTGCTGTATTTCCACACACTACCGAATAGAACAGCACGCCATTGTTAGAGATATTATGTTTATTACAATAAATACAGAATACTTTTGGAATATACGGAGACGTACACACAGGGTAGTTGTTGGCCTGTCTTTATTTCAGTGCAAACGAGAGTTGATGTTTATAAGTGATGTATCACTGATGAGTTACCAGAAATATATGGTCCTTATTTTGTCTCTATTTCTGGTTATGTACTCGATGTGCCGTTTAGTTTAGTTGTTCAAGCATTTTTTTGCGTTATTTATTACAAGTTTTTTACATAAAAACCGAGCTCGGAAGTTTACTCACCCACTTTCGCTGTATTTATTACATCTATTTGCCAAATTTTATTGTGATCCGTTATGGAAAGTGAGTGAAATCCAATACACGGGACTCATACCCTAATCTGCCACCCCTAGAGGTAGATAGATTGAAACCAGTCCTTCAAATAAGAATCATTGTAACATACTCACACAAAAAATACAGTCGAATTGAAGACTTCCTCCTTTTTTGAAGTCGGTTAAAAAATATACTAAAAAAATAATCCTATCAAAACGCGGGCCAAGTCCAATAACGCACACACTCATAGCGCCGCGCTCGGGGAATCCAGCATCGCTGGCGCCATAGACGCACAGACAACAACAAATTACACCCAAACTCACGAGATAAATTGCAGAAATTTCAAATATTTCTCCCGGCACGGGAATTGAACCCGGGATCTCTGCGTGGCAATCCAACGTGGCAATGGTGTTGATATTAGAGCTTTATTCACATCACGACGCAGCTTTAATGAGCTGCGTCTCTATACAAACCAACATTAGCTTTTATCACGTATTAAACCGTTTTCAAGATTGTTTCGGTACCCAACATGTTCTAATTTATCAATTAAATTCATAAAGTCACGAAAAACCACGGCTTTGACTAAAAAATGCATTAATTTTTCTTGCTTTTTGCAATGTAAAAGAAGATGATGATACATGTAACAAATTTCATTAAATCGTAAAAAAACTTGCTTACGAAAAAGACGCCAAGTTCAGAACAACTCTAAAAGGGGTTCGTCGGCTTCACGGATAACATGATTAAAACCTCAACTTCTATTAAAATCCCTTGACTCTTATCTACAGAAATCTTTAACAACAATAACAATTTACATCCTGTATCTTATATCCGTTTCTCGAGATGTTCAAGAAAATATGTTTCATGATGACTGGTGCCCGATCTCATCTTTTGAGTAGAAATTCGTAGAGTCTTATCGATACTTCCAATGTACACTACGCCACTAATAGCTTAGTAGCAGTGGAGTTCCCTCACCTATTTTTGCCGCTAAGCAGTAATGTCAGCATTACTGTGTTCCGTTTTTGAAGGGTAAGGAAGGGTACTGGTGAAATTACAGGCACATGGGACTTGTCAACTTATGTCTCGGGGTGACTGGCGCAGTGGCTGTGCCCATCAGATGTTCGCGATTTAAGGCTCTGAGTGGCACTGCAACTGTTATGGACAGGCGTGTAGCTTACCAAGTCGTTTTTGTAAACGTCCATATTTATGTACTAATATTGTGCTCCCCGAATTTTATGAAAAAAAATAAAGAAACAAAAAACGAAATAAAATTAGAACAAGTTAAAAAATTAAGTTTTTTAGTTGGAGATAACGTTATTGTTCTATAATTTTTAAGAATGTGGCCCAACACAAAAAGAGGGGAGTTATAAGTTTAAAGCCTATGTCTGTGTCTATTTGTGGCATAGTGGCTCGCAAATGGCCGAATTTCAAGTTTTTTTTTGTTATTTGAAGGCATATTTAATCGAGATGGTTCTTCTCTATGTCTGATGAACACCTGTTCAGGTGTTTAAAGCCAATCTCAATCATAAAATGAATATTTATTTTTATTCCACTTGTCCGTTCGAATACAAATTTGACATAATATGGGAAACCAATGCCATTACAGTCTGCAGAGTCCACAACTCCTCGAGTCCACTATAATACCTGTGTATAGGAATAGAGTCATCAGCTCATATGCCCTGACGCGGGAAGTATTTGTATTTTTTCCCGTACGATGCACATATCATTCTTCCTACTGGGTTACTGGGTTCACGATTTTTTTTAAACACGTTTTGAAGTAAATTTCTGTCTTTGAGAAATATATTTCGAGTTC